TGTATTAACTTTAAAGGAATAGTTTACTAGTTTTCTTGTACTAATTACATCAAATTTTGACATCTTTCTTTTCGTCACAGGAGTTTTATAATATTCAAAAGAGGAGAAAAGAAAAAAAAAAAAGGAATTAAAACCATTTGACACAGAGCAAATGTCACGATCAGGCCATACCTTGTAAATATTGCCACACTCTCTTACTTCCACGAGCATACTCTCAAATAATACTAACGGCCGTTTGTTAGAATGGTCTACAACAAACAAAAGGTAACAAAATTCAACATGGACAGCCCATAATTTTATGCAGACCCACGACTTATAGGGTATAATTTGTAAACGGCCCAAATAACTTTAACCTCAATTATGTACAATTAATTATCTCAAAAGATACTCTTATACTCTACTCCAGAGTGGGTAATATTTATATTGTTTCTATAGAAAAATCAAATTAAGTACAAAATTCAAAAAAAAAAAAAAAAAATACAATTGGTTCAAATTATTCAATACACGTTATAATTTGTATGGTATAGTGAACACTATAATATTTATATTTGTTTCTATAGAAAAATCAAATTAAGTACAAAAAAAAAAAAAAAATACAATTGGTTCAAATTATTCAGTACACGTTATAATTTGTATGGTATAGTGAACACTATTTTGAAGCTTGTAATCATATTTAAATAATGACGTAAACAGGTGTGTCTATTGTTAGGAATTCAAGTTAGAATTAGACCTAATTAAGCTAGCTTGCTTAGTTGATCCGTTTTGTAATGTTTGGTTTGTGATGCTATTAGAGTCCGAATCCTTTGCTATAATGGGTCAGTGCACTCGAAATGATGCTCATTTGGGAATTTTTATTTATTTATTAAAGGATCTTTCCTTGCCGTCAAAAGTGTCATAATAATATTTTAGATTTCATTTTAATTTTAAGGTTTTCAGTATTTGGCTTAAAATCATTTTTCACTTTTTTTTTTTTTTTTTTTTGGCTCTCTATAATTTTGGTGTCAAAACATATACAATCTAGTTGTAATTTTTTATTTATTTTTGAGTTTCGAGTTCATAAATGGAATTGAAGTATTGAGGAAAGTGTCAACATACTTGGAATCGATGGGAACGATATATTAAAAAAGGTAAGGGGGCAGGCACGGACCCAGCAGGTGACCAGGGGACAGATGGCCCCCTGGATTTTTAATATTTTCATTTTATATTTTAATTTTTTAAAAATTTATGAAAATGCCCCCCTAAAATTACAATTCGCCCACTGGATTCTTTTTTTTAGCATTTTATATCTCAAATTTTGATAATTTATAAAGATGCTCCTACTAAAATTATAATTTACCCCATTGATTTTTTTTTTTTCATTTTATATTTTAAAATTTATGAACAAAATTCTATTAAAATTACAAAAATAAACCCATCATATAATTTTGTACGCACAAATTAAAAAGTCACCCCCCCTCACAAAATTTTCGGGGTCCGTCACTGTAAGTGGGTGAGGATACATATTGTTTATCTTTTGTAAAGGTTTAGGATTAGGCACTTAGGTAAATGGTTTTCAAAAATATTTCTTCAAAAAGTACTCCGCCAAAGTTGGGCTGGTTGCGCTTTTTCGCAACTGGTACATATGCTTTATTTTCATAATCTATTTTGAAGGTTTTGAATCTGCCAAAGTTGGACTGGCTCTACTTTTTCCTAACTGGTCCAAGTTCCCTGAAACCAAATTAGAAATTGCAATTTGAGTCCAACTTGGTTTGGTTAATTGTTAGAGAGAAGTTTTTGCATGAAATTGTCTTGGTTTCTAAGTATTTTAAAATCTTCCTAACATCTATATAATCTCTTTCTTGTTAATTTTTACGGTTTTTCAAGGAAAATTTTCAAATAATTTAGAGTCTTTGAGAAATATTTTTAATTCAAAAAATAAACTTTGATTTTTCTGATCACGTAAACACAAGAATGTTTTAGGGTGATGTTCTCTATTTGATCGAAATTGAAACATAATTGAACATTCAGATATTCCGAGAAGCATGATTTTATTTGCCTTTGCATAATTCAGAATTTGAAGAAAATGGCCGTTTCGATTATACTTTGAAGGGGTTAAAACATTAATAGAGTGTTGTTGATCTACCAACAATCTTCTACAAGAGTCAAAGGAGTAAACCTAAAATTTAGAGCTGTTCTACGGGATAGTCGTAAAGCCAGAGGCATTCAGCAAATTGGGTCTTGGTAGAGTGAAATGATGTGAGCCTGCAGAGTCGAAGTCAATGGCGTATCTAGGGAAGGGCTGAGCTGGGGTCCAACACACCAAAAAAAAAAAATTATTACTATGGTTAATTTTAACCCAGCCAAAAAAATATATATATTATTTGTATTAGCCTACCCAAACAAGCCCAAGTCAATTAAGTCATAATCCTAAAATAAAAGACCCCAAACCAAACAAGCTCAAGCTAAACAAGCCCTAATAAAAAAAATTTGCTTAAGAAATTATGTTATTAAATTTATGTTTAATTTTAGCTCACTCCATTGACAATTTCTGGATCCGCCCTTAGTTGAAGTCTATTATTCTTTACTTTATACATAGTGGATCATTTCGTCAGGATGTCCTCCAAGTTTTTCAAATTAGTTTTTCTCACTGAAAATGCTAATGTCATTTCTCAAAGTTTTTTTTACTTTACAATATATATATATATATTGTAGTTATAAATGTTCAATTGATCAAAATTGTGGTAATTTAATGAATCACAAAAATTGGGTAAGTTGACCTTCTCAATCCCGAGAATAATTTACAACTAAATTAACTAACAGCTTTTGCACCGTACTACACACAACCTTCATTGGGTTTGTTTTCCACCTTCTCCAACCAAACTACAAATGGCGTTCATATATTCTTATTTCTCAATTTAAATCCACTAATTTCTTGATTTCAACAATTTTATTATGGAGATACACACACTCAATTCTAATTTCAATAGATTTAAATCTTTAATTCCACACACTTAATTCCATAACACCAGCTTCAGTTTAAGTTATTTTTCAACAATTTTATTCCGGAATTACACAAAAAAAAAAAAAAAAAAAAAAACCTTCTAAACTCAATGCATTTAAATCTTAATTCAACACCCTAATTACTTCCATAAGTTCATAACACTAAAATAAACATTATAGTTTTTATTATCAACAATGTTTTTCTGAATTTCCACACACTTAATTCTAAATTCAAACGAGTGTTCAGCATTTCCGCCAAAATCATTTGTCATCATTCTTTCTCTTTCTCCACCATTCTCTCTTCTCCTCTCAATCCCCTCTCTCCTCTATCCTCTCTCCATGTATCTCAGTAACCTCCATTCTCTTTCCACCTATTTGCAGAAGAGTTGTGCCACGCAGATGAGATGTGAACGCTGAGGATCACTAAGCATAACATATGTAGAGTTAAATCTAGAATCTTTCTTATTTGTGTGAACTTTGTGGAATTATTTTTATTTATTTATTTATTTTTTTGGGTAAGTAAGATGAGTACATCGTACAAACCAAAAAGATGATAAACTAAAAAAATTCTAGAATAGTAAAAAGTTTTGTCGATATTTAATGGAGACTATAGAATATTTTAACCATAGACTATAGAGTTTTAGATGATATTCAAGTGAAAACTTATTAGATCTCAACTGGAATACATCATAATCATTCATTAACGAAGAGATACTTGTATATAGTATGGAGTCTCAATGTGCACGTGTTATTATGTAGTGAGAGATGCATTCAAAATGTTTTTTTGGAAGGCTTTAGGAATTGCACACTTATTATGGATGGATTGTACTATGTGACGCAGAAATATATTTATATTAAATTTGTAGAGTGTTGTCCCTGTAAATGCTACAGTAATTGTTATAATAGTTTAATACAAATTTGGGGTTATACATTTTCAATTCCAATTTCTTTTAATCCGTTCTCTTTTATTTTTAATAAATGATTTATGTTTTAATATGAAATTGAGATATTATCTGAAAACTACACCTATATTAAAAACTATCTATGAATCCATTTTCAAGACCGCCATTGAAATATTGTAATGGTCTTCAGACTCGTTTCTTTTGTTTCTTGATAATATGTGTGCTTAATCATAAATAAACATTTCACACAATCCAGATTTATAAATAATAATAAAAAAAAAATGCAACAAAATGACAACCACTTATATGAACAAATTGATTGATTTGCAAACATTTAGTTCTTCGCAGCACTTTGCTTTCAGCTCAAAATATGTTGCTAGAATTCTGTTACGTTGGTATAAAAAATGTACTGGAATTGCTGTATAAATTTGTGTTTTGTTCATTTTACAACAATAATAGTGCAAGCTTCATCCATTTGAGTTTAACTTCGTGTATACTTTTTTCCCCACCTCCCCTTTGAAAATGTGTGTTTGTACCAGCTGACCTATTGCCCATTTAGTAACTTTGTGTATACTTGTCAACGATGATAGTGCACTCTTCATCGCCTGAGGGAAGATGGGGTTGAGTTGAGTTCACTTCTGGTATAAAAAAGAACCAACTGCTAGTCTGCTTCAGCTCATGTCTAGCATATTAGTAGATCCCACTAAACCTATATTATATGAACTCGGGTACACGTGTCGGATACGAATACATATTCATGAGTCGGATGTATCAAATTTCTAAACCAAAGGACATTGACATTGCTAAATATTCATTTTATTTAGTTAGTTTTAAATTTTTTTACTTTTTATTTTTAGAGTAAGCTTTGAACTCATTTTAAAATAATAATGCAACATAATTGAATGATTGAATATTCTTTTTAAGTCTAAAAGTGGCGAACACATATCACATACTATGTCTGAGCAATATGTGTCTGACACGGTACTTCACTACTTTTGAAGAGTCTATGTAACATAGTGCTAAACTACTCCCACAAAGACGAGCAAATTTAACAATAAAAAGAACAAGAGAATACATCAGCAGCAAGATATTGAAGGAAAGAAAATGCAGTTGCAGAGCTTTGGCAGTGAAATCCAATCCATTAGTAGAATTCAAGCAAAAGGTACATAAATATTTGTCTCACTGCAATTTTTGCAGGAATTACAATTACAAGATAAACAAGAGACAATAAACTTTAAAGAAGGTGAGAACACGTACTACAACAAAAACAAGTTAAAACAGAACAGAATAAGAGTTTTTCATTCAGGTGATGCATCATAAGTTACTATTGGAACTGCTATTGCTGTTTGACCACTTCCCAAAAATGCAGGCCACAAGAATCCTACCTCCAAAAAGGCCAAACCTTGACTTGAACAACTATGGCCGGCCATTACTGCTTGATGGAGCACCAGCAACAGCAGCAGCACCAGTTACTTGGTTCACCAGTGATGGAAACTTTATACCGTCTTCTTCTGCTCCAACAACACTTGCACTCGCATACGCTTCAGCTTCAAACCTCATCAACATCCAAATTGACCGCCCATGATCCCCTCTTCGCCCTCAACCAATCTGCAACCTCCCTAGTCACTCCCCTACACTTCTTAACCTTAATTTTCACCAAATTTGGGCAGCACCAAGCAAATGCCTCAATCCCTTGATCAGATCCATGGCACCCCCTGATACAGAGCTGCTTCAACATCACACATTTCGCAGCAATACATGAAATCTCTGCATCACCATTAATCTCACTGTCACAGAGAGCTAAGCGTTCCAATTTTTGAAAATGGGTGGCAATACAGACTTGTAAAACTAGGATTAACCCCAATAAGAACCAGTTCCTGAAGGTTAGAAGGCAATAAACAAGAGACAATAAGATTAACTTCAAACAGGCCTGGCTGGTACAAGCAAGTGGAACAAATGATGCATCTGTTTTCTCTTTTGGATGTGAAAGATTATGAAAGCGAGTGAAGTGCCGATGAGATACATTTGGTGCCTGGTAATGTACAAGAGCAACTCATTTCAGACCATCTGGAACAAACTTGCATATCAATTCAGTCATTTTCCTTTTTCCCTGAGGTGGGTGAACATCTTATTGCCTTTTTTCTCCCAGTATTTTATTTTTTCACATTAGTCAAAAGCCAGGTTGTATGCTTTGAGCCCCCAACCCAAACACAACTTACCCTCGTAGGAAAAATGCATTTGCCACTGACCAAGAGGGAAAAAGAGCTGTATACGGGCTTAAATTACTTAAGAAATAGCAAACAGCCTAAGGCTCACAAGGTCACGGGTCAGCTCACTCCGATTCGACTCTCTAGCACGCGTCTCGTGACCACCGTTGTTGTCTCCCTGAACTGTGACAAGGCTGGCACCGCCAACACCACCCGCCACCAAACCATACGCCTCGATTTTATGATCCATCACTGATTGCTCTGAACCTGCCCCTTAGGGTTTTTTCTTCTGCCCTCCCATCCGTCACTCAGTTCTTGGCCATACCCTAACCACTCCCTCACTCAGCTCCAAACCCCACATTAAGTCTCATATGGAGTAGTAGTAAACAAACCACAGATCAAATCCCAACCCAGCATTAACCTCGAAAATAACTCTGGTTGGATTAATGTTGTTGTGTTGTGATTCATTACACTACATTTAAGTCAGTGATCTTCACATGCATTACAGCTTTTTACCTGTGCATAAAACAAAATGATCATGAATGAGTGTTACACAAATGTCACCTTGATCGTCAAAGGGGACTACTGTAAATACTACCACCCAACCCCCCTTGCCAAAAATAGGGGGGGAAAATAAATAAAGAAAGAAAGCAAAGCCCACTACCCTCTTCTCTTTTTTATCACCCCATTTAGAGATTGTCTAGCGGAAACAGAGAGAAAGAGAGAGAGTGTGTGCGTGAGATAAAGAGAAGGGCAGAAGAGAAAACCTTAAAGGGGCAGATGCAGAGCAATCAGTGATGGCTCACAAAATCGAGGCGTATGGTTTGGTGGCAGGTGGTGTTGGTGGTGCCGGCTTTGTCAAAGTGCAGGGAGACAACAACGGAGGTCACGAGACGCGTGCTAGAGAGTCGAATCGGAGTGAACTGACCCATGACTTTGTGAGCCGGTCCAGCTTAAGATAAGGAGAACTGCTAATACAGTTTGACCACCTCCCAAAAGTGCAAGCACAAGAATCCTTCCTCCAAAAGGGCTAAACATTAACTTGAATGACGATGGCTGGCCTTTGCTGCTTGATGGAAGCATCAGCAGAACCACCAGTTATTTGGCTCACCATTGATGAAAACTCTATACCATCTTCTTGTGCTCCAACATCACTTGCAGTCGCAACAGCTTCAGCTTCAACCTCCTCAACATCCAAATTGACAGCAACCAATCCCCTCTTCGCCCTCAACCAATCTGCAACTTCCCTACTCGCTCCCCTACACTTCTTAACCTTAATTTTCACCAAATTCGGGCAGCGCCAAGCAAATGCCTCAATTCCTTCATCAGATACTTGGCACCCCTTGATACAGAGCTTCTTCAACATCACACATATCACAGCAATACATGAAATCTCTGCATCACCATTCATCTCACTACCACAGAGAGCAACGCGTTCCAATTTTTTAAAATGAATGGCAATCGAGACATGAAACTAGGATTAACCCCAACAAGAACCAGTTCTTGAAGGTTAGAATTTAGAAGGCAATAAGCAATGGACAATAAGATTAACTCCGAAGAACACAAACTAATACAAAGACAAGTTGAACAGAAAATAGAGTTTTTCATTCCAACCCTTGGTTCGGGTCATGATAAGCTACCACTGGAATTGCTGTTACTGTTTGACCACTTCCCAAAAGTGCAAGACACAAGAATCCTACCTCCAAAATGGCCAATCCTTGACTTAAAGGAGGAAGGCCGGCCATTACTGCTAGACGGAGCATCAGCAGCAGAACTAGTTACTTCGCTCACCATTAATGGAAACTCTATACCATCTTCTTGTGCTCCAACATCACTTGCACTTGCATATGCTTCAGCTTCAACCTCATCAACATCCAAATTGACCGCCAACGATCCCCTCTTCGCCCTCAGCCAATCTGCAACCTCCCTAGTCACTCCCTTACACTTCTTAACCTTAATTTTTACCAAATTCGGGCAGCCCCAAGCAAATGCCTCAATCCCTTGATCAGATACAGGGCACCCCTTGATACAGAACTTCTTCAACATCACACATTTCGCAGCAATAAAAGAAATCTCTTTATCACCTACGGTCTCACTACCGCAGAGAGCTAAGCGTTCCAATTTCTGACAATTGGTGGCAATTGCTTCAACGCTTGTAAAACTAAGATTAATCCCAATAAGAACCAGTTCTTGAAGATTAAAGGAATGCTTAGCAATCGCATTTAGGCCATCATTTCCAATCCGATTCGTCCTCCAACCATCAATATGGAGCTTCCTCAGTAGCTTGCAGTGCTCAGCAATGCTCACAATTCCATTATTTGTGCACTCCGGAGTCTTGACCAGGTGCAAAACCTCTAGTTCTGAACAATTCGATATCGCCTGAAGACCAAAGTCGCTAATTTGAAGCCTCTCCAAATGAATTTCAACCAAAATACTCTTCCGATTCGCAATTGCTTCGAAAACCCTATCCCAATCGCCCAAGCAACGCAACAGTTTTAGGGTTTTCAGATTCTTTGCTCCAATAATAAGCGGTCCAAAGGACTGTCCATTGTAGAGCTCCTTCAGGCATATGCTTTTCAGCGACAAAGCTGCTTTGCCGGGCCCGATCGGCTCGCCTACCTCGATGATTCCTCGGAGGCGCTTGACCGAGAGCTCTTCGAGTGACGAGCTGTGATCGAGCAGTGCCTTCATTCCTTTGGCCCCAAACATGGCAGACCCACACGAGAATTTCTTCAAACACTTGGAGTTCATCGCAAGAGCGGCCATTCCCAGATCGGTGAGCTCGCGACAGCTGCGAAGCTTGAGGCGCGTGAGATTAGGGCACCGGAGGGAGATCAGAACCAGAGCATCGTCGTCCAAGCTGACGGATCGACGGTCGCATCGGAGAGCGAGCTTCTTTACGGAGTCGAATCGAGAGAAGAGGGAAGGGATCGAAGGGAGAAGTTCGGAGGTGGCGTTGAGAACGAGACGGTGACGGCTCTGACCCTCCACCCGCAGCCACCGCCAGCAGACGAGAGAGCACTGGCGGCGGTCGCCGGAGCTGAGGAACTGGAAGATGCAGGCCAAGCACTCGTCGGGAAGTTCAGAGATGTAGTCTTCATCTACCATAGAGTTTTCCTGGAGTTCCGTACTGGATTCGACTGAGTACGTCAGAGAGAGACTCTCCGATCGAGCGGTGATGGGGCTTGTTAGACGATGGCTTGTCGGCGGCGAGAGCCCGTAGGTAGAGGAGGATTGACCCATCTAAATATTACTGGCGCTTATGGAGTTATAGGTTGTCGGTTGTTACGCCGGTGAATGAATATGGTGGTGGATTTCGGTGTGATTTTCGTTTTGGGGTTTGCTGATCTGAGAGTGCAAATACAATAAATGAGAATTGAATTGGGTTGTGACGCCGGCTAACGAATGTAATCAAAGAGCCACCGCATACGGTGGTGGTGGTGGTTGATTTGGGTTTGATTTCTGTTATGGATTTGGTGATTTGAGAATGGACATATATGAATTGGGTCTCGTAAAAAAGAGGTTGTTAGCGTCCTCGTCGCAACCGCCACGGCCGACCAGAACAGCAATTTTGTTTTGTATACTGTGATTTTTGTCGCCTAATCTGAAATGGTATCGATTACAGCCAAGAAGAAGAAGACCGATAAAATGTCTCACAATGTGAGATTGGTGTTACGTTATTTGTGTGTATATATACTGTATAGTATTTTATTATCAAAATTATCTTTTGGAGGAGGTTAATCTTTATTTGAATTTTGAAATAATTTATGAATTTGTTTATGCTTTTTAAAAGTATTTCTAATTAAGTAACATATATTTTTATTGTGTTTTTTTTGGGAGTTTGGTTAATGTGGAAGATAAAATTTTCAAGTAACTTTCTTGTAACTGTTTAATTTTCTTAAAAAATACATAAGAGGGAAATTTTACTTTCTCGTAAAAGTTGTGCCTTCATATATTAGTTTCTATTATGCTCACGTCATACTCCTCGTTTTCTCCACAAACTTTTATAGCAAGTGAGTTTTCTTTTTTTGTAAAATGTTTATAAGATGATAAAGTAATAATAATTTAATTGTATATAATTTTATATGTCCATACAAAATTAAAATTTTATTTTATTTTTTTTTCTTCCATAATTAATAATGATTGGGAGTGATATATATATATATTTGAGTATTTAGTAACAAAGTGTTGGGTAAAAACTTAGGTTAGAATCTCTACATGTATAAGTTTTAAAATTATAGTTTAATTCATACATGTATTTTTTTTTTAGACATATTACATGTACCAAATTAATTTAGTTCCAAGTATTTTATTTCAATTAAACTGAATTTTTTTTATTTTTTATTTTATATGACTAAAAGTATATATATTAAATTCAACCTTTTATCCTTTTATCTTTTATTTATTTATTTTCTTATTCATCACATATGCTTTCTCTCCTCTCCTCTTTGAACTCTTTCAACAAGCCATCTATTTCCTCTCTAATTACAAATTTATAGTTCTTTTTCAACAAGGTCACTTTTTATTTTTTGGCCTAAGGCCCCAAATTAAAATTTATAGTTCTCTTTCAACAAGGTCACTTTTTTATTTATTGCGTAAGGCCCTAAGTTATTCTGAACTACCATTGGTGCTTATCATTTATTTTAATGAAAATTCCACTCTTATAATTTTTTTTTCCCCTAAGGCCTCAAATTATTTCAAGCCGTCCTCAGTGCTTATAGTTCATTTTAATGAAAAATCTGCACTCTTATAAAAATAAATTTCGCCTAAGGCACCTAATTGCATTTAGATTCATAATATTTTTAAAAACTGACCAAAAATTAATATTTTTATATAAATAAAAATATATACCCGTATCGTGTTGCATCTGCGTCCCGTATCTATGCTTCTTAAGTCACAACAAGCCTGCAAACAATGATCAGTTTTTTTGGGCACTCGATAAAACCTATTGAAACTTCTATCATTTTCCTTTGAACTAAGTATATAAAACGTTCCTAAGATTTACTTTTTGAACAAATAATACACTTGTCTTTTACTTTGGGTATATAACTCTCTTAATAATTTAAAAATGTTGCAAACTAGTCTTTTCGACTCTCAATAATTAGAAAAGTACGGTTAACAAATCATGTGTCTCGCGTAACTAATTAATTGTCTTAAATACCAAAAGTGCCTTTCTTTGACGGAATTATTTACTATTTTTTAACTGAATTTTTACATTAATTGAATTTCGTTTACTATTTTTTATTATTTAAATACCTTAAATGCCCTTATTTAATTTAATTTGTTTAATAAAGATCATCATAGTCATTTTACATTAATTGAATTTTTTACCATTTTTCTTTTTAATATTTTTATTGCTCCATTAATAACTGAATGAGGAGATCACACCTAAAATAAATGTTAGGAAATTTTCAAAATCTATAGAAGATTATATAAACTATATACATATTACAAGAGCGTTAAATAATCGCGACGGTTTTCCTTTTACTACAATGGCTTCTTTTATTGAATCATTTAAGCAAAAGGGACAAGGGCTTCTCTTATTGAATCATTTAAGCAAAAGGGTTGGAAATTATCACAACCTTCTTATTAAAATGAAGACATAAATGGGTATTATCGCAATCTTGAGGATTGTATATGTAATATTCGATTACATTGAATAACAATCAAATTACATAATTGCATCATTCTTTGTTCTTTTTTTATATTACTAAAATATTCACTCTATCAACATGCATTGTGCTTCAATTTTGTATAAAAGTAACAAACTTTTCAACAACTAATTTAATGGTATATGTTTTCTAGTGTTGACCTAAACTTCCATATGTTACAAACATAACTCAAATTTCATGGTTTGTTTTCTTTTTTTTCTTTTTCTTTTTTTATTTTTTATTTTTAAAAAAAGAAAAGAAAAAAGTTATTCAGTTGGGTCCTAATTTCTTGATCAAAGGTGATGTGAAAGACCAGAATATGGTGGAACTTTGACATTAATGTTCAAAGTTCAAACTCTGTCCAAATTTTTCAAGCTTTACTAAAGTCTTCACCAGACTTTTACAAGACTGTCACGAGGTCTTTTTCTTCTTTCAATCTACTTTTTGTGAAAAAGCATTTAAAGTTATGTCCCACGTTATTGCATTATTATATGATTTATATCTCGTGAAAATTACGGATGAGTAGAGTTACAATTATGTCCTCAGATTATTGTATCTCGTGAAAACTAAGGGTAGAATTACATTTAAGTAGGGTCAAATAAATAAATATCTGATTTTCTTAAAAAAATATTTTTTAATAAATTCTTCACACTAGACTTTTACAAGATTGTCATGGTTGATGGGTCATATTCTTTTACTTTTTCTGCAAAAAGAAAGAAAAAAATTTAAAAGTTACGCTCCCACGTTTTTACATTATCATATTTCGTAAGAATCACGGTGAGTAAAATCATAATAATTCCCCCTGTCTCGTGAAAACTATGAACTGGTACGATTATAACTAAATAGAGTCAAATAAATATTTGATTTTTTTCAACTCAATCATATTAAAATAAACAAACTCAAGTTAATCCAAATATAAATATTTAAGCCGAATTGTTTAATTCATTTAACTAATTTCAATCTCAACAGTTGATCAAGTTTCAAATAGTTGTATTGATCTGTTAATGCTCTAAAGTCAGAACGAGCAATCAACAAATTCAAATCTACTATACTAAATTGAATACAAGTCTCTTAGTTTTATCATAAAAAATTAATTAGTATAAGAACCAAATAAATGAGTATGATTTAAGAGATAATAATAATCATTAGCATCTATTAATGTCATAACAGCTGTACCATGCGTCTTTGAAGCACATTCTGTGTCCCTTTCACACAAGAGGAATAAAATGCCTTATGGTATTATCAATTATGTAATAATAATCAGGACCGTCCAATGATCTAGCGTCATAATTTAACATAGAAAGTTTTGAGTAAAGATATTTTAGAAAGGGAAACGAGACAGTCATGCGTGAGGCACGAGATCAGTTCAGTGTCATCATAAAATTAGCAACACTCCACAGTAAATTGTATGAGGCACTCGACTAGTCTAGTGTCATTATACGTATCGCTATTCGTTTATAAAATTGACGATACTCAATAGTTAGATGTCTCATACAGCTTTGTGAGACATTCGACTAATCTGGTGTCTTCATACGTAACGCTATTCTTTTATAAAATTAACGACACTCACAGTCAAGTGTCTCACACACAGCTTTGTGAGACACCCGATTAGTCTAGTGTCATCATGCGTAACGTTACTTTTTTATAAAATTGACGATACTCGACAATTAAGTATCTCACACAATTACGTGAGACAATGAGGACACCTTACTAATCTGATATCATCATTTGTAACGGTACTCTTTTAAATATATTATATTGAAAAAAATGTTATAGAACTAGCAAACATCTGAATATTAAAGAAGTGTCACATAGTGGCCCTTTATGTTAGTAGTTGCCAATTAGTCTAACACTAATCAAAGTTATAAATTCTGGGACTTGGTTATGGAAGGAGATCTGTATGCATCCTAAATCATTCATAGAACTGATAACACTTTCCCATTATTAAATACCACTTCTCTTAAAATTTAAATTTAAATAAAAGAAAATGCAATGTAATTTTTCGAAATTAATGGCCCGTCATATTCCATTTGTTTATAGTCCTTTGAAAACACTTCTATGTTTCAATCCACAATGAAAAAAATATTATTTTTGTCACTGAACAATGAGCAGTTATACACTTGACGACATCGAGTGTCTCACAATGATGTGGGCCCCATTATAATAATTATAAGCGAAACTCACAACATTACGAGACACCAAACATTCGAGTGTACATTTTCCTTTTCAAATTGGCAAAAAAACAAAGCATGGTTCCTTTTTAAATTGGCAAAAAAAACATGGTTCTTTATTTTTATTCTTTTATTTATGTTCATAAAATGTTTTACCAACAGTCTCTCTCTAGAAGCTTTAGCAATTAAAGGGGGAAAAAAGGTACGTGTTATACAGCTAAAAACTAAAATATGCAATAATGTATCACAATGAATTGTTGATTCGTTGGACACTGATGGGCCTTGTATATATTTAGCTTTGAACTTTCTCAATGAAATTGAAACAATAAACTACTTTGTCTCATCCTTGCTATTGTAATCTTTTAAGTAACAATCAATGTAAAATAAAGTATCACTTAGCCTCCAATTGTTTGCACGTCAGAAAATATATTTTTTTATTTTTTGGTATTTAATTATAGTAAAATGTTTAAAAAATTGATGACACTTGATAGTCAAGTATCTCGTGTAGTCGTGTAAGACGCCCGACTAATCTGGTATCATCATACGTAACGCTACTTTTTTATAAAATTGACGACACTCGATAATTAAGTGTCTCACACAACTATGTGAGATAGTCAGGATACCCTACAATATAACGTCATCATTCTTAACGAGTACTAATCTGATGTCATCATTCGTAACGATACTCTTATAAATATATTAAATTGAAAAAAATGTTAGAACTAGCAAACATCTGAATCTTAAAGAAGTGTCAAATATTAGCCCTTTAGGTTAGTAGTTGCCAATTAGTCTACACTAATTAAACTTAAAAATTCTGGGACTTGGTTATGGAAGGAGATCTGTATTGCATCCTAAATCATTCATATAATTGATGATACTTTCCCATTATTAAATACCACTTCTCTTAAAAATTAAATTTAAATAAAAGAAAATGCATGTAATTTTTCAAAATTAAATTAGTAGTACTAATCATGGTCCATTTGTGTATATTCTTTTGAAAACACTTCCATATTTCAATCCACAATGAAAAAAAATGATTCAAGACTCGTCATCATTTTTGTCACTGATGAATTTCGATTTTTTATTAAGCAATTATACACTTGACGACACATGACTAATTGAGTGTCTCACAATGATATGAGTCTCATCATAATAGTTGTGAGCGGGATTCACAACATTGTGAGACACCAAACTTTCGAGTGTCTTCAAGTTGTACATTCCCTTTTTTAAATTGGCAAAAAAAGAGAGTATGGTTCTTTATTATTATTATTCTTTTATTTATGCTCATGAAAATGCTTTACTAGAGAGAGACTCTCTCTCTAGAAGCTTTAGCAATTAAAGGGGGAAAAAAGATATATGTTATACAACTAAAGCTAAAATATGCAAAATAATATAAATACAAGATAAAATTAATCATTAGAAAAAATAAATTTAGAATTGAGAAAAAGAAACTTAAATAACTAAATATAAATAAAAAATTTAATTATTACTATTATGTTTTGATTGTTATAACATATAGGTTTCTAAAGGGTCCAAAATTTAAAGAAACTCTTTTAAGAAAATAATAAACAAACCTAAAGAGTCCAAAATATAACTAAAGAATAAATAATAATAATAAAAGGATAGAAGCAAATAATAAATAGGAACGATAACTAAATATAAATATAAAAATTAATTATTACTATTATGTTTTGATTGTTATAACTTATAGGTTTCTAAAGAGTCCAACATTATGTTCTTTTAATTTAATTTATTTTTTTTCAATTTTAGTAACTTGTGTTTTAATAATGGTGAAGAGTTGTATAACTTTATGTTTGTATTTTAATTGATAACTTATAATTTAACTAATAATAGTATTTATTTATTTTTAATTATATATTTATAGATAATGATTTGAAATTCTTGACACCAATATATATATATATATATATATATATATATATATATATATATATATATATTTTGGTACCTCTCAACCATTACAACTTTGGGTTCTGTTTGGCGGGTAGGAAAATGACTCCTCATCAAAGAAAAGGTGGGCCTGAGAATTTGGGCTAGGTTTACTCAATCTGGGTTCAGTCGAGGGCCCACAATCTCCAACTTCCAATTTCTATAGTACGGATTCTAATAGAAAAGGTCCAATATTGGAACTTCGAAGCCCATCCATGCCAAAATGAATATTCACGATTTCATTCCCTAACAGGTTTTAACTGAATTGGTCTCATCTTGGTCTCTTCAATGTTTGATTCAGAATTTAGGGATTTTATTTTTTCGAATAGATATATTTATTTTATTCGTCGAATTGTCTATCTTAAACTGAAATATATATCATAGTTATGGATTGCCGTAATGAGTTATTCGATCCAATTTTTTTCTCTGGTCTTATGAATTTAATCGAGCGATGAATTATAAATTTACAATATAATGGGATGATTATCATATCAGGTAAGAAAATTGTGATACTAATTTTCACCAACAAATAAATATGCTGAAGATTATGGCTGAAGTAGTGGGCCTGGTTATAGATAACATATGCAAATGGGCTTGGGTTGGAATTATAGAGAGGCCTAGGGTATGTGGGTTAGGTTACTGTTAAATAAAACTATAAACATTATTATTATATTATTTCAAGAGTGCCTGTTCATGATCGAGTTCACAAAAATAACCAGCCGAACTTAGGGCCATTTGAACTCGACTCTTTAATAAGCGAGTTTAAAAATCTTGTTCGAGCTCAATTTGTTTGTTAAATAAATAACATGAATCGTACCCTAATTTATATGGATCTAAACTATTAATGAATAACTCCCTTTGTTGATAACTCTATACGTTACTTTTCAGAGACTATATGTCATATTCTAAAATTTCTTGGGTCAAAGTTTTGACCTATTCTAAAACAGATACAAAGAAAAATTAACATTTTCTTCGCTACTTATTTGCTATTTTTGCATCACATGAATGTTGTAAATGAGGTGGTCTCCACCGACTTCCTTTCACCAATGTGTTTTTTTTTTTTAGATAAATACTCACACATATCAATAAATATTGATTATAGGATTCAAATCACTTACCTTTCTTTCGACAGACCATTTTCATCTTAATAGAAAATATTCTTGAAATTATTAATAAAGAGTTTCCAATCTTTAAAGTTAGATCTAATATGTGATATTTTTTTAATTCTCTAGATAAGTTCACGTTAATTATAAAATAAATTTGGTAGTGTCAAACATTATCTTTTAATTAAATTTGGGTTACTAAGAAGATGTGAAGATACCTGTCCAAGATTCACTTTGGATATAGTTCAGTAGTTTACTTGCTGGACTTTGGAGCTTAGCAAGCTAAAGGTCCGTTCGAATTCTGCTGGGTGTTCTTTGTGATTAACCTTCGTTATCTTTGCAGTGACTTACCCGTCCCAGGTGAGGAGACGCCCTTCTAAATTTTCGGAGATTAGATTTTTGCTTACCGGGACAAATTTATTAGAGTAGTAGTCCCTTTTCTTTGTATAGATAAGAAATTTTTATATGGGTCCAATCACAATTCCACACAAGCACAAAATTATATGAAATTGATATATTTATGATTTATCTCTCATCAAATTGTGATTGGGTAAGATTGTATTGTCAGAACCAAATAATAATTCCCATTACCCAATATATTTTCCCGTGACCCAAACAAACCCTAAAAACCCTTAAATCAATAAGAAATAGCCCTTAAATCAATAAGAAATAGCAAACCGGGAAAAAAGGACAGTCGTGATCGCTATCTCAGATAAAATCCCTTCTTAATTCACTAGATAAGTTCATTTTATTATAAAGTAAATTTGGTAGTGTCCAACTTTATCTTTTTAATAAAAATTTTGGATACGGTAAAAATATGTGACCTAGATTTTTACTTCGGTTGACAAATTTGTTAGAATACAATTTTTATTTTTATTTTTTTACAACATTTATACACTTATGTGTTACATCGTGATTGGTTCGAATCATTCCTATAATATTTTTTAATTTGCACAGGATAAGATATTTTTATATGGTCCAAGTCACAACTCCAGGTCAAGCACAAAATTAAATTAAGTTGGAAAAAATATTTTATGGTTATCTGCGAATTGCCAGGGACACATAAACAAATATGTCAGGTTTATGCCATTGGAAATTAATTTTATTTCTGGGCTTCCCATAATATATTTTCCTGTGACCCAAACAACCCCTAAAACCCCTTAAATTAATAGAAAATAGCAAACCAGGGAAAAAGGACAGGCGTGATAGCTCTCTCAGATAAAATCCCTTCTTTGCTTACTGTATTTAGGTCTCTCTCTCTTCAGTCTAGAGAGAGAAAGCATATGCAGATATGTTACTGCAAAGACAATAGTGTCTTCTTCTCAGAAGAAGATGGCTTCACAAGAACAAGAAAAACAGCTGCAAAACCCTATGTCTGTTCTTGATGGTCTGTACTGTGAGGAAGGGCATTTTGAGGAAGATTTGGGTGGGTATGGTTTTGAAGAAGAGAGTGGGACCTGTGATGGGAATGTGTACAAACCCTTGGTCTTATCTGAACTTGACCTGTATTGGGAAGATGATGAGCTTGTGTCTCTGCTCTCCAAAGAGAAAAATACCCATTTGGGTGAGAGTGATTTGGGCTCAGATGGATCTGTAATGGTGGCAAGAAGAGAGGCTGTTGAGTGGATTTTGAGGGTCAATGCCCATTTTGGTTTCACTGCTTTGACCACCGTTTTAGCTGTTGATTACTTCGATAGGTTCAAATCAAGCTTTTGCTTCCAAAGAGACAAGCCATGGATGAGTCAATTAGCTGCTGTTGCTTGTTTGTCTTTAGCTGCCAAAGTTGAGGAGACCCAAGTGCCTCTTCTTCTAGACCTGCAAGTATGTGTTGTTATTTGTATTGTTTTTATATGCAATGTGGGTGTTTGTGAAAATGTTTGTGAAAATGTGTTATTGTGTTTTTTTGGGCTGTTTATTGTCTTTGATGTGGGTTTTGGTACTGTGTTTAGGTGGAGGGATCAAAGTATGTGTTTGAAGCAAAGACCATTCAGAGAATGGAGCTTCTGGTGCTCTCTGCTCTTCAATGGAGGATGAATCCTGTGACCCCACTTTCATTCTTTGATCACATTGTAAGGAGGCTTGGACTGAAAACCCATTTGCATTTCGAGTTCTTATGGAGGTGTGAGCGCCTCATTCTCTCTGTCATCACTGGTAAGCAGATTAAAATTAAACTGGTATTGATTCCCAATTTCTACTAATGAATATGTAGAAGACCAAAAGAACAAGAATAGGATTTGGAAATCTTATTGTGTGTCATCCCATTTGATATATCATCTCATATTCTCATCTTGAACATTTAATATTGATCCAGATGCAAGGTTTCTGAGTTATCTTCCATCTGAGTTGGCTACTGTGACAATGTTACATGTTATTGAAGAGATTGAGCCTTGTAATGCATTGGACTACCAAAATCAGCTTATGGGTGTTCTCAAAATCAACAAGGTCTGTATTTTATTTATGTAGGCTACTCTTTTCTTAAACAATAAGATTGAATTTGAATTTGGCATTACATTGTTCAACACTTCAATTATTGAACCGATTCTTAAACAGGACAAAGCGGATGACTGCTATAAACTCATACTGGAACTATCAGGCAACCATGGTTCTTATAAGCAATACCAAACTCACAAACGCAAGTATCAGTCTGCACCAGGCAGCCCAAATGGTGTCATCGATGCATATTTCAGCTCCGACAGCTCGAATGATTCGTGGGATGTAGCATCATCAGTCTCGTCATCGCCCAAACGTCTGTTCAAGAAGAGCAGAAACCAGGATCAGCAGATGAGGTTGGCTCGACTGAACCCTGTGTCTGTAGGTGTGTTTGGGGGGCACGGTTGATCTTTCGTACTCTATTATCTACTATTTTTGGCCATGGTATTATACATTCTCTCTTTTGCATATTAATTGCAGTTGATGTTCTTAAGGTGCAACTATATGCATTCCATGATATATCACTGTAATTCTGGCCTATGCTATGTGTAGCAGACAGATGCGAAACACTCACTCCACTGCTTATATATTTAGGGTGGTGGGTGAGAAGAGAATTGAGTTGAATTTTCCTTGAGTTGCATATACAATGCCTCTCTCTCCAGCATTTTCCGATACATTATACTGTTTTTTTTTTTAATTTATAATTGCTTGACATATCATATGCTCAATGACACCATTAGGTGGATGTAGAAAAGAGAGATGGAATTGGGGGGTGCCAATTCTTTGGTGGTTTTTTCACATGGAGCTATTGATGAATTGGGAGAGTTTTTCAAAATAGGACAGGTTGGCATTGGACATCTTGCTTGTTAACTGGTTTATATTAAATTGGAATATAGTGATGTCTTGAAGACAGGAATAGATTGTCGGCCTGTGAGATTTTGGTGGTTGTTCTACAAAGACTTTTGTTACATGGTTTGACCTTGTTGAAAGGGTACCACCCTCGTTCAATAACCTAATGTAGATGTTTAGGTTTTCAATACTCTCCCTCTCCACCTTCACCATCAAAAATATAATTTTTTTTCCCGGTAACTTAAACGTATGAGCTGCGTCGTTATAGCAGAGGAAAAATCAAATTAGTAGTTCTTTTAAGGTAGCATACATTGTGCTATAAAGTATACACTTAATAAAAAATGTAATCGAGTCGTTATAGAAGAGGAAAAATCAAATTAGTAGTCTTTTGAGGTACCAGACATTGTGCTAAAGTATACAATATGATTAAAGAAATTGCCAACTTATGAGTACTGTTGTTTATGTCTAACTTTGAATGTCCCATCTAATTGAAGAATCTTATATAGGTAATTGGACAAAAGACTTGGTGTGCAATTATTATTATAGGACACATAATTCTATGTCTTTTATTTAATTAGATTCACTAGGCAAAAGTTTTTGCACCTAATATTATGTTTTACTATTTCCCTAGGTTATCATTTGTAGTTTCCTGAGCATTTTCTGTCCTCAAATGGGTAAAAATGTAGAAACCAAATTTTTACCTGAGTCTCTTGGTGAAGTTCTAACTGTTCTATTGTAGAACCATTGTCAACCTGCAAAGGGCATGTCACTTTTGTGCAATATTTGTACGTGTAGGAAATTTGCCGCTCTGCAATTTAGAATACAGTTTCATTTCTATGTGAACTGTGGTTGCACACTTCGAACTCTTTTTACCATTGCATCAAGTAACGGCACCTAAATGGTTATTGCCATTTGTTATCAAGACTTGATGTTGTTTTAGACTATGATGCCTCGAATATGACATGCATGCTAATTGTGTTATATATGGCCTGGTTCTTGGAGAACAACCGAAAACAGTTTCTGGACAACTATAAAAGATTAAAATTCATATATATATATATATATATATATTTCTTTTTTATTAACTCGGTTTTCAGAAAATTGTCAAACCTAGGTATTTTTCGTAATGTCTTCTGCTTCTGCTTCGTATGCTTTAAAAAATCTCGGGTTGGTCAAGCTAGCAACTCTGGTCGACTAATCTGCTCAGAATCATTGTCGCAGCATTACAAATCCTGGGGTTGGGGAAGGGGAAATGTTTCTTTCTCAATTGTTTTTCCAAGGGATAGGTCAATTGATTCCTCTATCGAGTCCTAACTAGGAATATCTTTAGCAAAGAAAAACTAGAAATTGTTTGGATTCTAGGCAAAACCCTTCTATGCTGCTATGGAGTTCTTCTGCTCTAATCCTTTCAAGTTTCTAAAAAAAAATAGAAGAAAATTAAACCAAACAGTCCTACAGCTTTTGAATTTCTGTGTCATATTTTTACTTCATGTTCTTCGAAAATCATATTAAGTGGGCCCTCTAGCAGTATTTGGTGGGGCTAAATTCGTGTATTAAACCAGATTGTGCTTCCTGATTCAGTAAAAAATAATAAGTGTAAGAAATCTATAATGCAATAAAAGAAAAAGCAAGTAAAATTGTTAGCAGAATAATTTCTCTGGATGCATTTATTCTTCCAGACACTCACTATCCATGGAAAGAAGTAAAAAAAGGTGGAAGGGTGAAATTGAATTTGAGTAATTTACTGAGGAGATGTGAAATCTCTTCTGTAATTGTGATCTTTCTGCCTTTAAGTTTGGTATACTTTGATGTAAATTAGAATAATTTCTCAGTGATCATGATTCATGTGCGTGTGTGTGTGAGAGAGAGGGAGAGAGAAAGAGATCATGATTCATGTGTGTGCGTGTGAGAGAGAGAGAGCCCACCCAATAATTATGGAATGATACAATGATTAGCCCTATGTAAATCTCACATGTTGCCCATTCTTCTTACAATAACTACTCTATAAAATATTCCCCAATACTATATCTCAGGTTTGTAACAACATTTAATCTTTTGGCAAGTTCTTTAGTGGATGAGAGTTCCACTGAGTATCATCCAATCTGTAAAAGATTTTGAGGGTGGCACAATGTAGGGAATTAGGATCTTATCCTATCTACAACACTGTGTTAGCACGAGAGAAGGGTGGAGATCATCTAACACACGAGAGAAGGGTGGAGATCATCTCACACGAGATGTATTCTCGATAAACGGAGTGATTCTCATTTCATGTGAAATGATCTCCACTCTTCTCCGCAATAGAGAATCCGGGCTGTGTAGGTAAGCCAATAGTTATAGTACTCTTGTTCTTTTGTGTGATTGACAAAATGAAGACACTAGCTCCCTGTTGTAGTATTTTCTTATAACCAAGAACTCGGATGCCTTCCGATCCAGTGTACTCATCCTGCATCGGTAGTGCAACATACTACATCGTAATGCAACAGTTACATTACGAAATGTAATACCATAAAATAATGATGTAATGTATTTGTTACGTAAACGATATAAAATTGTTTAATAAGCGATGTGTTGTAAAGACACGTGACAAATTCAGAATGAATAAGCGATCTGATTTTGAATAGTTTTCACATTAAATCAGAGAGTTATGGGGGCGTAGCCCATTCCTACATGTACGCAATGTACTATTATGCGCTCCTCAGTGATATATATATAGCTAAATTGATGTGCAAAGTTCCAAATGCCATTAAAAATAATGATACCAATTGTAATAATACCTACTGTGTTCTACAGAGCTAAACAAGAAGTGGAAACATATGACATGGGTACATGTACAATTTTATTTAATTTCGATGGTATCAACATAAACATGAATGCTGAGGTACAAGACTTTGATGGACTTTTTTGGACAAATTGAAGTCTACAAACAAAATTAAATTCATGGACATGCAAGTTACGAACACAACCTTATTAATTAAAGATTTTTTGAAATTCAATGATTTTTAACCAAACATTTAAATTAATATAACGACATGAATTATTGGGTCCAAATCCTCAATTTTCAAAATTCCAGTCGAAACTTGTTATTTTCGGATATCTATTGTATAACAGTGTTTTTTCGGTGGTGTCAAATTTCTTAGAACACTAACACATACTGTCTCCTCACCTTACATACATCGAATGATTATTGAAACAATTCCGATGCTACTAAGACTCCAAAACAAAAAATAAAATAAAATAGACAACATCAATAATAATTTAACCATACAATCAGACACATCAAATAAATTTCTGAATTTTACTCAAATAATTTTTTTTAGCCTTTCTCAATTAATTCAAGACATTAAGAATTCAAATACTCTTATATCAATGTGTTTTAAGAGATGACATAACAACTTAAAGAGACACGAGGTTAAGAGGTTTTCAATTATTGTTGTTGATTAAAAAAAACAAAAAAATTAAAAAGAAGTAAAATGAATCCAATTTAATTTCTCCAAGAAATTGTGCTATATATATATATATATATATATCTCCAACGAATATTTTGGGTGGTTATAAGAAATTCGTTATAACTTTTTTAAGGCCTGTCAAAAAAATGTTGAAAAAAGAATAAATCTAAATAGCAAGTTTTAGAACAGAAGGATATTTAGGACATTTTTCTTATTCAACTCAAATTTGATGAAAATTGAACCTTGACTGAAAATTTTGTGATTAATTAAAATATTTCATTAAAACTTTAGTAAAATTTGACCAAATAATTAAAAGAAAAAGATGATTTTTTTTTTTTTTGGAATGATCAGAAGTCAGTAATAATTTCAATAATTCAGACCACATTGGATTCTGGCTTAAGTCATGAATTGAAGATAATTGCAAAGAGTACTCTCCTGGATGAGCATCATCATAATAAAGGAGAGGCATACAAAATCATTTAAACCAACTGAAAATCATGGTGGCCCATTGGTTTTGAATAAAAATTAGATTTCTCTCATCCAGAGAGATATCACTAACAACGTATAAATCCCATATAGAATATTAAGATTACGAAAATTGATACATATGATTTAGTCGTTTAGTTACTTAGCTAATAACGGATTAGTCCAGTACATGAGACTTCTGTCAATTTTACACAGTCTTTATCTTTACTTAGGGAAGGGTCTTATCTTCACTTACCAAGATGTGGTATTCTCTAAGCCTATATTTTGTTTCAAACTTGTTTAGGTCACATACAACAACCTTAATGTAATGTGTAAACTAATTTAGGCTTAATAAAATTGTCACTGACAAGAATTACTAATGTAAAATTGAGATTTTATGATCCCATTGAGATATCTCAATCATTCAAAGGAATAGGGTAGTGGATGAAAATAAATGAAAAATATTTGTCTGTCCAATGTAACTTCTTTTCCTTCACTTCTTTTCACAATATGCCTTGTCAAATTGAAGAGAAGGTACACAGAATAAGTTTAGATATGGAAATGGCAAAGATTTTGGAAGTAATAGTAGTATTCATGTGATATGACAGAAGATAGGAATGGTTGGAAACAGCTATAGGAGATTGTTTTTTCTATCATCTCATGGAAGTTGTTGAAACTTAAAAAGAGTTCAGTACTCCTTTGTTTTCTTATTATGCTGATCAGGGTTAAAATAGGGAAAGCCAAATGCTATATGTCAGCAGAGGAAATTTCAGAGTACTGTTTCTGAGTACTGTTTTATACAATAGTTCATGTGAAATAAAAATGTTCCTAGTCTAAGCTATTTTATCATTTTAAGTGTACCTAAGTTTAAGAGACACCAACAAACA